TACTGGGAGTCCAGAGTGTCTTCTAGAAGACCTTCCTGAATGTGTCAGTTCTGTTCCAAATTTCTCTTCACCTTCCCCTGTGTCAGCATCACTTTCAGTTCCATATGATTGGGAAGAAACTTGGACCACGTAAAATTTTCTGGCTCTTGTTGGTGACTTTGAGATGGTCATGCTACTAAACTGGATCTGGTTATACAATACTGACAGAGAATAGAGAAAGAAATCAGAGCCTCCTGCACTACAGAGCCTGGATGGAACCACTTCCAGGGGCAAGGATGGTTACCTCACAGGCCAAATCGAGGTACCTACAAGCAGTCTTGAAGAATTTTTGCTAGGACATTTTCTCCTTCTACTTTCAACCTGACAGATTACCTCTGTCTTACTTTCAGTCTTTTCAAACTATATCATAACTATCACCACCATCATTACGACCAGTAAAGCATCTTTTTACTTTGACCTCTTTTATTTGACCAAATGTTATATTTTTTCTAGAGAAATGTGATTCAAAACCTGGTGACTAGAATGTGTCGGTGAATATTAAAACCACTGTGAAGCACATTCATGAAACCCTTTTTTCCAGGCCTTCAAAAGGATTAAAAAAAAAATGCTTTAAAGTTTATAAGATCATGGGATCTAGAGACCATCTCGTTGAACCCTTTCATTTTACAAATGAGGAAATTGAGGCCCAGAGAGACTAAGCAGCTTTCCCAAGGTCACAGAGTTAAGTGGTAAAACTAATATTCCCACCCTCAGTCATCAAATTTCAACTCCAGGGCTGGCACAAACCACTGTGAGAGCATTCTGAGCTCTGCTACTGCTTTGCTGGTTGACTCTGACTGAGCTGGGACAAGAAGTGAGTCTCAAGAATTCCCACGATGGGGTTATGTCCACTAGAACAGGCTGCCTCCTTTGTTAATGGGTGGTTGGCTTTCCAAGGCAGGAATCTTGGTAGCTGATAATTACTAACAATACATTATGATTGTTACTGTCATAACTGTGTGACATTTCTATAGCCAAGAGCATCTGATGGGAAAAGCTGAGTCTTCATCCTCATACAAAGACTCTCTTTATAGTGTGAATGCCAAAGAAGGTGGTGAAAGAGGTAGATTCTGAGGCTATATAGGCTCCCAGTGCCCCCAGTCATTTGAACCATTTTCTCTAAGACTGTCTTCCTTCTACTCTGTATCTCTTGTACATGTACCTATTTATGTATTGTCTTCCCAATTAGTATGTAAGCTCCTTGAAGGCAGGTGCTGTTTTTACATTTTTGCCTTTCTTTCTATCACCAGCACTTAGCAGAGGAGCTACCACATAGTAAGTGCTTAATAAATGCTTGCTGATTGCTTGAGGCAGCTAGTGAAAGGGAAAGAGCTCTGGACTTGGAATCACAAAGATTTAAGTTCAAATCTGGCTTCAGACACTTAATAGTCATGTGATCCTGGGCAAATCACTTAACCTCTGTCTGCCTCAAACTTTTCAGCTGTAAAATGCAGATATTATCTACCTCACAGAGCTATTGCAAGGATCAAATATTTGTAAAGAGATTAGAACAGGGTCTGGCATATAATATAGAATATAATATTAATAAATATCTGTTCTGTTCCCTCCTGATTGATTGAAAAGACTATACAGTGAGGAGATAGATAAACAACTTGACCAAAGTTGCACAGCCATGGGAGAGGAATAAGTGAATCAAGAAGCATTTATTAAGCACTTACTATATGCCAGGTTCCAAGTGCTAGGGATACAAAAAAAGGGCAAAAAATATGGTCTGCCCTCAAGGAGTTCACTTTCTAACAGATGAAACAATATGCAAATAACAATGCAAGATATATGAAGAGTAGATACAAGGTCATCTCAGGGGGAAGGCATTCATAGTAGGGGGAACTAGGAAAGGCCTTCTGCAGAAGGCAGAATTTGACCTGAGTCTTGAAGAGGTCAGGGAAGCCAGTAGATAGAGATGAGACCGAAGAGCATTCCAGGCTTGGGGGAAAAGGTACAGAGTCTAGAGATGGAGTGTCTTGTTAAACGAACAGCCAGCAGGCCAACAGAGTTGGATCATCAAGTGTTTGAAGGGGAATAAAATGTAAGACATGTGGAAAGGTAGGAAGGGCCCAGACTATGAAAGGCTTGATTATTTTTTAAATTTAATTTAAAATTTTTTTGTTACATTTTAAGTTCCTGTCTCACTCTCTCCCTTTTCACCGTGCATTAGAGAAGGTGCCATTTGACACAGATTTATAAATATATCTAAAACCACACTACACATACTTCTATTTATCAGTTCTTTCTTTGGAGGTGGATAGCATCTTCCTTCATAGGTCCTTTATAGTTGATTTCAGTATTTATAGTACTCAAACTTCGTTGTTCACAATTATTCTTTGAATAATATTGCTGTTACCATATACAACATTCTCTTTGTTCTGCTCACTTTACTTTTTGTTATTTCGTGTTGTGAAAGGCTTTAAATGCCAAACAGAACATTTTATATTTGATCCTGGAGGTAACAGGAAGTCACTGGAGTTTGAGTGGTGAGATGACATGGTCAGAAGTGTTTGAAAGAAATTGAGAGAAGAAATAGAAGTCTTTGGCAGAAGTTGTAATTTCCTATGGAAGGTGGAACTAGGGATAGGATACTGGTTGGTTTTCTCTGGGGTGAATATAGCCAAAGTGGGATAAGTCTATGGCAAAATGTACGTGAGAGCATAGCCTCAAGAGTTGGGGAAAGCTGCCATTTTTTTTTTACCAAGCAGGGTCACTTTAGGTTAATATCATGGCTACCCTGGCCTCAGTTTCCCCATCTACACCATGGGGAGAAGCCAAACCCTTTGAGTTTGCAGGATGAAAGGCTCTTCAGCGGCAGAGAACATGGCTACCTGTAAAACTGGGTTAATGACGCCACTGGCTCTCTGGCTAGAGATGAGTCTGGTCTTCTTTGAAGATGAAACATGCTCGACCCTAATGAGGAGTCAGTTGTAGTAGAATTAAGACTGGGCGCCAGCTTCCAATGAGTTTTATCATAGACCACTCATCAGGCCCCACCCTGCCTGAGTAGCATAGGGATGAGGGTTTCTTAAATAGTCTAACTTGAACTTTTCAGTTCACTCAAACAAAATACCACACAACCCATCCACCCCATTTGCTTCTGCTTGCCTTTACTGGGGCAATGTTCTTTTTCCCACCTGATTCTTGATTACCTTACTCAACATTCTGCCCCGCAGGGCAAGGAAACAGCTCCAAGGAAAGCAAATGTGGAACAAGAGGGAGAGAGAAAAAGAGTCTCTCAAATGGCCTCAAGCTTCAATGAGTAAGTTTCTAGCAGGAAAGTCATTCAGAACCCCCTCTTATTCTCCTCTGTAGAATCTCCTCCATTCCCCTCTTAAGTCCACCAGCATCTCAAACCCTGTGTTTATGTGCACCAAGCCAGGTTTGCAAGCCCACTCTTTTTCTGGTGTGAGTACAACAGTCCATTTTCTAAAATGGTGGCCATCCAACACATGGAACTTTCATAGCATCCTCTATATGCAATGGCAATGGTTCCTAAAATAACCAATGATCCTTCTTATTTCTCATTATCTTTTGGCCTTTTAGATGGATATATTCTATTGTCAGAAAGGCACGGATAGACAGTAAAGCTAAAAATGACAGCCTACTGAGTTGGAGATGGCAATAGCTAAGATGGTCAAGGCAACTCTTTGGCACCTATGGGTGGCTGCTGAAGTACATAGTGGTGGTACTTTATGAATCTTCATTATATACTCTTCCTTCCTTTCTCTCCCCCTACCTTCCTTTTTCTTCTACCATTCCCATTTTGTTATGGTGTAGGCCTGCCTCTCAACAAGCATTGCTCATCCACGCTCAAGGCATCCAGGATTAAAGAGGCTGCTTATACACGAACCAAAAGCTAACTTCACCCATTTTGGGGTAAAGAGCTACCTTTGTCCTTAAGTGGTCAGTTACTGGTTCTGCTTTTTCAGAAACTTGAGCACAAGCCAGGAGCTATAATAAACAAGTGGGTCTGGCTTATAGATAATACTTGACAAAGCAGAACAGGGAACGGAGGTAGCTGTGACTCTCTTGGGAAACAGCAGCCTCAGCAATGTGCTGAATATCGAGAAGAACTGAAAGATAACTTTCTCCCAGTTTTCCCAGAGGAGAAGCATACTGGAGAATTATCACATCTTCTTAATGGTCCTACATTCATTAAGTAATTAATTCCTTTATCTGATTTGCAAAAAGATGCCCAAAGGCTGCATCTTTGGATGAATTGACATTAACTTCAGAGAAGGTTCTTCTCCGAACTGGCTGCCTACCTAAATTTTGGAGAAATAAAAGGGCCAAGGCCTTCAAGCTTCTGTGTTAGGAAGCCAAAGGGCCAGATCTAGCTTTATTCCAACCCATGGAAGGGTCTTGGCTCTTTAGGAATGAAAAAGATGGGACCTGAAACCCAGGGATTTGATTCCTTCAGTCTTCATTAGGTCAAGCAAGTATCTACCTCCCCTTACATTTCAATTACAAAACCACTGTCTCCTTATCTTTTTATTCTACCCCTGGCCAGAGTTTCAACAGCTATATGAGCAACTCAGCTTCACCCAGCTCCCTAGGCCTTAGTTTAAGACTAATCTGAAAATCACTACGGAAAACAAAGCCATGTCAAGCTGTGAAAGACACTGTAATTCACACGTACGGTGTCAAGGATACATTCAACACTGGAGTCTCCATTCCTAGTATATGCTATATTGCTTGTCAGTGTCTCTGTGAGGGGGTGTGTACAAAGGTACTAATTACAGGCTATAGAGCAGATAATTAGCACCTCCTCTTAATAGGGGAGGCAACCTGTTGGTATCTGCCCTGGAACCGCCTCAGGGATTTAAAAAAAAATTTTTTTTTAATTTTTTGGTGAGGGACAAAAGATGGAAAGTAATGGAAACACATCACACCATACAGCCTTACTACAGGTCTTGGACACTGGATGAGGTGAGGATATGCAAAGGGCTCACCTTTTGATCTAGCTCCGTGTTGACTTCTAGCTGTCGATTCTGGTTTTGCAAGGCTGGTGAGCAGGCAGTCAAGTGTTGCCCTAAGGAAGATGGTTTCATGAGTCCCAGGAGACGGCAGAGCAAGGACAGCTGTAAAGAAGAGGAGAAGGAGGGTGCATCATTGATGTGGTGCTTAGGGATACATGCACTGAGGAGTTCAGGAATCCTAGCAGAAGACCACAACCAAGCAGCTTCTTTGTTCTTTTTTATCTAGAAACTGAAAATTGCTTTCTTTAAGCTTTAAGAATCAGGGACAGGCAGCCCAGGCTTGGAATCAGAATTGGGTTCAAGTCTTAGCCCTGAAGTGTAATAGCTCCTGATCCTAGAAAAGTCCCGACCTCTCCCAATCTTAGTTTCCTCAGATATAAACAAGGGGCAAGAATGCTGATGCTGCCTCCTTCTCAGGGAATGTTGTAAGGAAAGTATGGCATGGTGAAATGAGCAACAAACTTGGAGTCAGGAGACCTGGATTCAAATCCTGCCTCAGACACTTATCTGCCTGACCATGGGTAAGTCATGCAAAAGTCTCTGGACCTCGATTTCCTTGTCTGTAAAATGGATCTTAAAAAAGAAAATAAATTAAATGGGAATGATATCACTTACCTAGTAAACACGCATGTTGTAAATCCTAAAGCGCTTTACAAATGTGAGGTATCAAAGAAACAGTGTGGTAGAGTGGAGAGCGGGCTAGATTGAGAATCTGAGAAAAATACCTTTGAATCCCAAACCTGCCTCTCTGTTCTTGGGCAAGTTACTTAACCTCTTTAGGTCTTGGTTTACGCTAAATTTACTCTAAGACTCTAAGAATACGTACATAAAGGTTATTTCGAACCCAGGATATCCTAACCCCATATAAAGAAAGTCAGAGAGTGTGGAACAAGGTCTGGGAAGAGGGTCTCTGCCTCCTTTCTACACTGTTTTCCTCTAAATTCTAAAAAAGCCAGTCATACCGACAAATGAGAGAACACACTCTATCTTAGTACTTGGGTAGAAGGTGTCAGACAGCATCTAAGTATATAATCTAACCACCAGTATAAACGCCTACAGGCATGCAGCCTGGAGCATACAAACTGACAGGTGATAAGTTCGCTTGGGCAGCCTCTACTAGTGGGAACCCTTGATCTCCTTGGGCTGAAAACTGGAAGAGGCTGACTAATTTCTCGGAAGTTAGCTTCTTAGTGTCTGCAAAAGCAGACAATGAGGCTCTTGCTTCTCAGACATTATATGAGATGGAGAGCGGGAGGAGCAAATGGGCATACAGGAGAATTTGTCAAGTCTGCAAATGCAGCCCTGGGGGGGTGGGGGCAGCGGTTGGTGTGGGTATTCATATATTCACCAGGCTCCTCCACCTCAGAAGCTCAAACCCAAACTACGTGTTCACACCATATCCATATGGTTGCTCATGATTTAGAGCACCACCTCTCCTCAAGTCCAGCTTCCCTGCTCACCTCAAAGCCCCTCTTCTCAAGTACACCTGGCTGCTTCGTCATGACTCAACACGACTCACCAGCCAGACACTCAACTCAGCACCTATCTACCAGATTGCAGGTTTAGACAGCCAAAGTCTCAAGGCTGTTGAAGGGATGCAATGGTGGCTAGGTGCCAGGATCATCTCCCTCTTCCTCCTCCTCTCCCCCTAGTCTGTGGCCCTAGGCTTACAGAAATGGTGCAGTGTTCTTTAGCAAACCACCTATCTTTAGTCAGGGAGAGAAGGAGGAGGGACAACAAGAGAGAGATGACTGGCCATGGAAGCTTGGACATAAACTTGACCTGGCTCTGCACTCAAACCACTGAAGCCTTAGTCCCTTGGTAGGTTCTTAGAAATCCGGGGAGTATTTTCTAAAATACCTCTGTCCATTAATTTCTTATGACCACACAAGCATTAGATTTTGCCTTTAAAGACCCAGAGATGTAAAGGACAGAGAATTATACTATTACACGTGTACAACCCAAACAAATAAAACATATTCTTTTGGCACCATGGCCATCAATATTATCTCCTTTTGGCTTTGCCTGGTACGAAGTCACTTCTGCTCTCTAAACAGTCCTCAGCTCCAGAAGCCCAGGGGATGGGGGATGGGCAGATGGTGCACAATTACAGGCGCTTCACTTGCTCCCATTATCTTCTTCTTGCTTAGTTAAAACAGCTTCAATCAGATCAGCTCACCAAGCTGCTTCTCCCTGTTATTTGCTATTGTACTTGCTGATTGCTTATTCTTTTTACATTTCTGGCCTGTGGGTATAGCACTAGAAAGCTGAATTAAAGGGATGAATAACTTAAGAAATAACCTTACACACACACACACATACACACACACACCCCTGCAGCAAGCTTGGGATAAGGGCTCATTTTGGTTGTGACAGGTACTGGTATGGTAGAGTTAGGATACAGATTGTAAACTGCCTGAAGTTGCGAGACATCATGCCAAACATTCAGCCATGAAGAGCAAACAGCTCACACCAGAAATCAAATAATTACTCAAGAAAGGAGGCCTCCCTTGGCTGGGTTATTTTTTTTTTTCTGTTCTGAAATAAGGAAGATGAGTTTGTTTATTGTAGCTCTCATGATGATGCCAATGGTGGAATGATCCCAAGGTGGCATCAGCACTGATGCTGGACTTTTCCAAGACAGAATGATTTTTTGCATTCTTATACCCCATTAGTCACCCAACAGCATGGCCACCTTGACACAACATACTACTTAATATCTGAGATTAATTTAGTTTTCCAATTCTTTTTAAAATTCAATTTTGTTTTATTTTCCCTTCTGAATTCTCTCTCTCTCTCTTTTTCTCTCTCTTCTATTCCCTCCCCCACCCACCGAGAAGTCAAGAAAAACAAAACTCACTACACATATGTATAATCAGGCAAAATAAATTCCTACCTTAGCTACGTCCAAAAATAAAATAAAAAATAAATAAAAAGCAAGAAAGAGGAAACAGAATATGCTTTATTTTGTACTCTGAGTCCATCTAGCCTCTCTTTGGAGGTAAATAGCATGTTTCATCATGAGTCCTCTGAAATTGTCTTGATCATTTACTAAGTCTTTCAAAGTTCATTCTCTTCACACTATTGCTATTATTGTGTACCCTGTTTTCCTAGTTCTGTTCACTTCACTTTGTATCAGTTAGTACAAATCTTCCTAGGTTTTTCTGAAACCCTCTCCTTCATCTTTTTTATCACATTGTAGTGTTCTATCACATAACTTGTTCAACCACTCCGTAACTGACGGGCACCTGATTAACTCTTTATCTAGATCTATCCCTGCACCAAAAACCATGCTCTTACTTAACTCCTTTTCTGCTTCACTCAGTTCATTAGTAACTTCCTGTTGATACTGGATTCTCTCCTCATGCTAAACCATATGGATTCAACCACTTCTCTAACATGCCAGGCTTCCCCCCATTGTTGATACCTTGGATCCTATATTAGAATCACGGCATATCAAAGTTGGAAGCAACCTCAGAGTAATCCAGTATCTACTGTAGCAAAAATCTCATTTGCAACACACCTGACAAATAGCTAGTCTTTGCTTGGAATCATTGAGTGAAAATGAATTGACTACATAAAACAGCTTATTCCATCTTTAAATAGCTCTAGTTGTTAAAAAGTTTATTCTTATATCAAATCTAAGTCATCATCTCTTCAACTGCAAACCATTGCTCCTATTTCTGTCTTCTGGGACCAATCAAAACATGAATCTCTCCTCCACAGGATAGCCTTTAAAATAACTGAAGACAATTATCATGCTCTTTCCCTATCCCTACCCTCAAGTCTTTTCTTCTGGCTAAATATTACCAGTTCTTTCAACTGGGAATCCTCAGTTTAATCTTCATATACTATAACGTTAAAGTTCTTGACCATTCTAGCTGTCCTCCCCAAAATACTCTGCAGTTTAATAATAATCTTCTTAAAATGACTAACATAATGTTCCAAACATGGTCTAGCCAGCAAGCCCTTCCCTAGTCCGAGACACAATGAATCTCTTAACGTAGACTAAGAGTGCATTAGGTTTTCTGATTGCCATACAACACCACTGATTCAGCTTGTAGTCTACTAAAACCTCATGAAGAAATGGAGACCCACAGGTTTGTTGAAGAGTTAACTTTAGTTCCTCTTAAAAAAAAAAAAAGAAAAGAAAAGAAAAGAAGGAAGGAAGGGGATAGAGATGGCAAGCTCTTGACTGGGGAGCTAAACCTCGATTTCTGACAAAATTCTAAATATATTGTTAAAGAATGGTTAATGAGCATGTGGAAAAGTCAACAGTGAGGACAAATAGTCAATAAGAATAGTTTGTGCCGGACTAGGCTCATTTCCCTTTTTTGACAAAGTTATTTGGCTGGTCGATCAAAGGAATACTATAGGTGTACTTTCACTTAATTTTATCAGAACATTTAACCAAGTCTCCTATGTATTCTTTGTTTCCCTTAATATAATTTATTTATTTTTAGTTTTCAACGTTCACTTCCATAAGATTTTGAGTTTTGAATTTTCTCCCCCGCCGTCTTCTTCCCCCTCCCCAAGATGGCATGCAATCTGATATAGGCTCTACTTATACATTCATATTAAACATATTTTCACATTAGTAGTGATATAAAGAAGAATTAGAACTAATGGGAGGAACCACAAGAAAGAAAAAACAAAATAAAACAAAAGGAGAGCAAATAGGATGCTTCCATCTGCATTCAGACTCCATAGTTCTTTCTCTGAATGTGGATGGCATTGTCCATCATGAGTCTTTTGGAGTTGTCTTAGATCCTTGCATTGCTAAGGAGAGCTAGGTCTATCAAGGTCAGTCATTGAACAATGTGATTGTTACTGTGTACAACGTTCTCCTGGTTCTGCTCATTTCATTCAGCTTCAGTTCATATAAGTCTTTCCAGGTTTTTCTGAAGTCTGCCTGCCCATCATTTCTAATAGCACAATAGTATTCCATCACATTCATATACCACAACTTGTTCAGCCATTGTCCTCAATTTCCAATTCTTTGCCATCACAAAAACAGCTGCTACAAAATTTTTGTACATGTGGGTCTTTTTCCCATTTTTACGACTTCTTTGGGATACAGCCCTGGAAGTGCTTTTGCTGGGTCAAAGGGTATGCACAACTTTACAGCTCCTTAGGCATAGTTCCAAATTGCTCTCCAGAATGGTTGGATCAGCTCACAACTCCACCAGCAATGCATTAGTGTTCTAATTTTCCTTTATCTTCTCGAGTTTATCATTGTCCTGTTTTGTCATGTTAGCCAATCTGATAGGTGTGATGTGGTACCTCAGCCATGCTATTCTTATAGACAAGATAGAAAGCTGTGAACTAGACAGTTAGGAAGAAGATCCACAAATATTTGTACAGTTGAACACAAAGATTAATCCTTAATGGTTCAACATGACCTTGGAAGGAATAGAGAACTCCTTCAGTTTGAGGATCTTTGCTTAGTCCTATGCTGTTTAAAGTTTTGCTTTTGCTTTATAATCAATGACATGAATAAAGAAACAGATGCAATTTTCAAGTTTGGAGATGACAGAAAACTAGGAGGGAAACTTGGTAGGATGACACAATGGAAAGACCAGTCTCTCTAGAGTCAAAAGTTCTGCTGTTTAATATCTATGGGACCTTTGGCAAGGCACTTCAGCACCTTGGGTGTCAGCTTCTCCATGAGGTCCCTTCCAATTCTTGATTTATGATCTCATGATCCTCCTTTGAGGATTTGAAAAGATCTTAAGAAGTCAAGAAACTGGGTTAAACTGAATAAGATGAAATTTAATAGGGATAAATATGTCTTACATTACACTTGGGTTCAAAAAATTAACTGCCCAAGTACAAAACAGAGGAGGTATGACTAGGAGCTGTTCAGCTACAAAAATAGATCTGGTGGTGTTGGTGGACTGCACACTCCACAATGAGTCAACAGTGGGATGTGGCTTCCAAAAAAACATAATGCAAACTTAAACCACATTAGAAAAGGCAAAGTGTCCAGAACTCAGGAGGTGATACCTCTGGTGCACTCTTCTCGCTTAGCATCCTAGAAATCTCAGTCCAAGCATCCTGCCTACATGAGGCATTTTCTTATCATCTCCCTTGCATCTTCTCACTAACCCAAAATTACATTGAATTTAGTTTGTATATATTTTGTATCTTTGTACAGTTTGTATACACCGTAGTATGTGTGCATATTATTTCTCCTCAGAACAAGATAAGCTCATGTACAGAAGGAACAATTTTTCGTACTTGTCCAGGGATGAGGAGCTGATCGTTAAAATTTCAGTCTGAGCATTTACACCTCAGAAATCAGCAAATGCTGCAAATTAAGGGCTTGATTTATTGTTGTGTTGATTGCCTAGACTTAAGAAAGTGAAAAAATGGTAATGAGGCAGATTAAACTTAAAAGTGTGTTGTGCATACATTTTTTTTCCTGCAGAGCTGGTTGTTAAACTTTTTACTAGCACATCTTTGCTTATAGCCCTTCTCCTTCCCCTCTACCCCAAAGCATTTACCTGGCACATAGTGGGAATTTTATTAAATTAAATTAATTAAATTAAATCATTTAATTAATTAATTAAATTGATTAAATTAAATTTATTAAATTAAATTCCCACTTTCTTTTCCCATCATCTGTCTGATGATGATTCAGAGAGGCCTGTATTTCCCACCTATAGGACTTTTCTATTTGGATGTCCTGTCATTAAACTCAACTTACGCAAAATAAAATTGATCACAGAACATTAGGACTGTTGGAGGGCTCAGAGATCTAATTTCCTTGGCTCACTGATAAGAAACACCAGCCCAGAACTCAAATAACTTGCTCAAGGTCATACAGCTAGTGAAAGGTTACATCTTCTGATAGACCATTGTTCTTCCTGTTATACCAAGCTGTCTCTCTTGCAGTTTACAACTCCTTTTCCAATACTTCCTATTTCTGTCCATGGTGTGGCTCATTCTCCTAAATCTGGGGTGGGGAACCTGAAGCCATGTGGCCTCGAGGCCACAGGTTCCCCACCCCTGTTCTAAGTTGTTCAGGCTGGAAATTTTAAAGCTATTTTTTTGGTTTCTCATTCTATAAAGTTTCTCCTTCTCCTGGTTTCTTCCTTTGGTTTTTCTTCTTCTTCAACCCCTTTATCCCATTTGTCGCTAAGTCCTACATTTCTTCTTTTGAAATGTCACTTGGAACCTCTTCCTTCTTTCCATTTCCATTGCCTCCAACTAGGCCAGGTCTTCATTGTCCCACAACGAGATCCCATAACAACAGTCCCCTAGCTAGTTTCCCAAACTCATGTTTTTTCTCCACTACCAACCATCTTGTATATCATTGCTCAGTGAGTCTTCTTAAAATCAAGGGTTCATCATGTCTCCCTTTGGATAGAGAATCTATGACTGGCTATTACGTTAAGTTCAAACTCTTCTACTTGATTTTCTTTTTAAGCAGATTTCAGGATTTACTGAAGAAAGCAAACCCAGCTACCTAGTTTTCTTTTTAAAAAAATTCATTTTTTTAAATTTCGAGTTCCAAATTTTCTCCTTCCTTCCAGCCCCTCCCCCAACCCACTGAGAAGGCATTCTGCTTGACTTTCAAGTTCCCCTATAATCTGACCATACTCTACCTATCCAAGTTCCTTGAGGGCACATATAACACAATATGCTTCATTTGGATCACTCTAACACAGAGTTTGGCCCATGGTAGTTACCGTATAAATCTCTATTGATTAGTTTATAGGTCACTAATAAGTTGTGAGTTTACTATGGCTACTCCAATGTTCATCCCCCTCCTCCCACTGCAGAATTCTTCTGTTCTCTACATTTAAGCTGTTATACCTGGCACAGAAAATTAGACATAAGTAGGGTATATTGATAAAGCAGCAAATTTCCACACTGTTTCAATCCTAAAACTAACCTGGGCTCTCTCCTTCCAGAGGGGGAGAACCTCTGTCTGTCCCAGTAGACGGGCAATGATCACAAGGCTGAGTTGGCTTCGAACCTGCCTGTGGGAAAAGAAAAGAAGAAAGCCTTAGCTATGTTTAGGGGCCAGAGGGAGGCAAGGATATCTGGGGAGAAAAAGAGAATACAATATATGAGAGATAAGGCTTAGTCATCAATTTCAATGCCCAAGGATTTTGGGCAGTCAGCAGTATATATAAACCAAGATGCACATTTAACATTCTTCTATTCATTCTTTCATTTATATCTCCCCTCCAGGGCTGTTCCACACTACTGCTGATCCTGTAGCTGAATTTGATTCTTTGACCCTATTTCCTCTCATTTTTCGTCCTAGCTACAACATAGCATCCCTAGCAGAACAACTAATTCTGTGGTGACAGAGTCCTAGTCTCCCAGAACAGAATTCAGAGATGCCACAATAGAGAAGGGAGGGCAGAAAAAGGCAACATCTCCCTTCTTTCTGCCTCCAGCTGCTCCATAATTACAATTCTTTAAACATCTCTACACACTTGTTGCTTTCTCATGAGGTACCAGATGTAAGATCTGGCACTCACTGAAGAAGTGGTACAGCCCTCATTCTCTCATGACATGACCACAGCCAGTAAGGCATCTCAAAGCCAGAAGTTCAAGGACCAAATTGGAATGCCCTAGACTGTCAGCTTCTTCTTTGGAGATCTGTTGAACCTGGGTATCATTCATTTAATTCATGACAAAGGAATCTACTATACCCAGTGGAATAAGAGGGCAAGGCAAAAAAGCATTACTGAATGTTAGTGAAGATAGTCTGCAAAAGCCAGAGAAAAGGAACCCTGTTACTTCTGTCTCAGGCTCACTCATACGCCTTTAGTGCTCACCATCATGGGTATTATAGGCTCTATAACTTCTCCTGCAGGCCCTACTGCAATTGAGAGGGCCTCAGGTAATGTAAGGACCAGATGGACTATTCTTCCTATTACAATAAAAGCCTAGGCCCAGTGTCCAGGAAACCAGGATAGCCATAGCCATAATGATAGTAACACACTGAACCTCCATGGAGACCTTCCAGCCCAAGTCATACCTATTTTCAATCTTTAACTCTTTTCTCACCATGTGCCAAAAGGGCAACTGAGGCAGAGAAAGTGGAAGCTTCCTGCCCAAAGCTATTTAGTCAGTTTGGGCCAAAACTAAGCTCAGGATCCAAACTAAGCTTCTAGGCCCAAACTGAAAAACAGGAGCACTTCATCCAATCCAGTGCTCCTGTGTGATGAGTGCCCGCCATCACTCCCACTTGGGGCTCCCTTTCCTAATACTCTTCTATATAATCCCTTAGTCTTCATGTTTTCTAAAAGTCTGTGATGTCTGTTTGTGTTTTTAGAATGGGCTGTGGTAGGGATCTTTACATCTGTACAGCTGGGAGAGAACGGTGCAAAGAAACAGAACAATCTTGGGATAAACAGCAGCTAAAAGGGATGAGTTAATAAGATCAGTTCCAGCTCGTTTCTGGCTGGGAAGAGTCAAAAAAGTGGGTTGTTTAACAAAGTAGAGCTTTAAAAAAAAATGCTCAGACAAAATGACTATTTTGACACCGTCCTAATTTAGTATCCTCACCTTTTCTTCTTTTCAAGCATGTTTTATTGTTACCCTTTATATTTACACGTTACCTACAGGACCCTCCAAAGTCCTCTGAAAGTTAGGGAAGGGCTATTGTGTCCATCTTACTGATTAAGACAGCCAGAAATTCAGAAAACCCAGTAGCCTGCTGCATCACTGCCAGACAATATGCCATGTGTACAGTCTGGAAAACGCTCCCCAGTCCCATCTATAGAAGCCCAAGTTACAAATTTCTTCTTCACTCCAAAGGCCAACCCTACTAGACCTCACATTTCTGTCCCATGCCAGTGAGGAGCCTCAGCTGTTCTCTGGGGTGTACAGAACAGCTGTATTGAGAACTGTGGTGGGAGGTAAATCCAGTCCCTGGGCACTGCTTCTCCACAGCCAAACCCAGAGCCAGAAGAGTGCTGGCATCTGGGAGCCATTAATCTGAAACCCCAGGCCTGTACTGAGCTAATTAACCCAAGTGTGGGTAGGGAGGGGTGGGGGCAGGGAAGGGTAAACAGGGACAGGGAGAGAGAGCGGGCCAGAAAAGAAGGGCTAGGGCTGGGGCTGGGGCTGGGGCTGGTGGGGAGGGGGAGTAGGAAGTGATTCCAAAATAAAGCAGAGAGAGAAGAGGCAAACCTAGGGCGGGTCAGGACAGGGCTGTCTTCCAGAAATGGAGAAAAGGGATTGGGGGGGCGGGGAAGGGATGAAAAGAAACCCACATTTTAGCGAACAGAACTTCCCCCCTGCATTGTATTCTGCTGCCCACTGTCTTTCATGCAATTGACTCCTAATGCCTTTTAAACAGTCTCCTTCATTCTCATGTCCCCGCTGGGACAAAGAAAGGGGGGCAGGGATAATTTTCCTATTTAACAGATGGGGGAAACTACAACACAGAAAAAAAGGCTTCTTCAAAGAAAAACACAAAATGTGTCAGTTGGCAAAATGGGAGGACAGATCTATGCAGGTATTCTAACTCCCAATCTAATCCTTCACTTGCGGGTGTCTTGTCTCTCCAATTGGGAAGACAGGCTGCACCAGATAACTTTGATAACTGCGTGCCGGGGACAACTTTGGAAATGACTGTTGGAAGACAGCAGGGAGCAAGAAATCCTGCCCAGGGCTTTTGCTGGTCAAACAGCTGTGGGTTCTCTCCCTCAAAAGCTTCCCTTAAGGCTCCACCCAGCCTCCTCCAGCAGTGGTGGGGGCTGGGTCTCAGAGGAACTCAGGATTGAGCAGTCTGGAGGCAAGAGAATTCAGAAGCAATTCAAACAACTTTCATATAAGGCAACAGGATGCAGCAGACCTCTAAACGCATGCACCAGATCCAGCCCAGCCTCTGCCTTCTCCCCTGTCACTGAGAGGCCAGAGCTACACAGGGCTCTTTGTCTCTACACAATCCATCTCCAAATTCATTTAGCACTTCCATGCTATGATGGGGAAACTGAGGCAGGAGAGAAGTGTCTTTCTCAAATCCAGAATAGGAAGCAAGAATGGGGAGGAAAGGCCCCCACTGTTTTCAGGCGTCCTGCGCCCCCACTGCTGGCAGTCGGAGAAGCTTTTTATTCAGCTCCTGTTCCCTCTCCACACGTTTGGTTCCTGGCCAGAGGAGCAGGCAGCCAAAATCCCCAGCTGGGGCAGACCACCTCCAAGTCCTTCATGCATAACCCCTTGACTTGAGAGCCCTGTGAGGACACTACCCAATGAAACTGCCCAAAGTCTACCACATCTCAGTCTGATAACCTGAAAGAGCCCCATGGGAGGGTGGAGGAGGGGAAGAGAAGCTAACTTCAGACAAAGCGACAGCTACTATCCATATTACTGCTTTAGCTGTACGTGGTCCTCTAACATTGGATGGGTCACTGGGATTTTAAGAGTCTTGGAAGATGTGCATATCTCAGTATAGATCTTTAGCCAAATCTTTAGCCTTTTACAGTTAAATACAAAAAAGAGTAAAACTGTACTTCCTCCATGAAATCCTCCTGTGCTCATTAACTGATTCCGCACTCCCCAACCCTGGCCTTCAACTATGGCCAAGACCTTTTGTAGGTCTGGCTCCAATAAAATTCAGGAGTATGATCCTACACAATATATACAACATTTATACATATATATCAACCAACCAATCAACAAGCATTTATTAATTGCCCACTATATGCTAGGCACTGTGCTAGGTGCTGGAGATACAATTCCTTTAGGGGATACTATGTGCACACAGGGAGACAGCAAGGTGGTTCAATGGATAGAGCACTGGGGCTGGAATCAGGGAGAACTGAGTTCAAATCCAGCCACAGACACCTACTGTCTCTGTGACCCTGGGTGAGTCACTTAACCTTGTTTGCCTCAGTTTCCCCATCCTCATTTCACCATAAAATGAGCTAGAGGAGGAAATGGCAAACCACTCCAGCATCATTGCCAAGAAGATTCCAAACAGGGTCACGAAGAGTCAGACATGACTAAACAATAACAACTTCAGCTTGTTGCTTATAATCTAGAGGGGCAGGTGACACTGATAAACATAAAAATTCTAAACAAAAAGAAAGCAAAGATGAAAGTGTAGATGTTTATATCACTGGTTTAGTGAATTATATGGATTTTATTGGTAGTAGCCTTCTAAATGGTCTAGCTGCCTCCGATTTCTCCATACTCTTTCCAATATATCCTCCACACAATTGCCAAAGTGATATTCATAAAGCACAAATCTAACTGTGTTACTCCTTTGCTTAATATGCTTTTAATCTTTTTTGTGTGTGTTACAGACCTCTTTGGTGGCAGTCTGGGGAAGCCTATGGACTCCCTATGTTGTTGCCTACATTCATAACTGAAAGAAGGGCTAAACTTTCATTTAGAAGGTAGAGAAAATAAAGATGTAATTTTTTCCCATTCAAGTTCATGGACCCTCTGAAATCTATTTATGGACCCCCTGGAGTTAAGAATCCCTGCTCTAGTAGATCCATTTTGCCTCTAAAATGAAATATTTCTCTGGCATTTTCAGTCTTTACAACCAAGCTCCAGTTTCATCTCCTGCCCTATTATTTATCACTCCTCAAAACACCTTACCCAAACTGGCTTTCTTGCTGTTCTTCACACAAGACATTCCATCACATGGCTGTGCTTTTTAATGGGCCATCCTCCATGCCTGCAATGCCATCTCTGCTTTTTTGAACCCCTAGCTTCTTTTAAGACTGTCAGTCAAATGACACCTACTATGTGCCAAGCACAGTGCAATGCCCTGGGAATACAAGGGAAGGCAAAAAAAAAAAAGTACATGCTCTCAAGGAATTCACAGTTTAATGGGGGTGGCGGGGGAGAACATGGAAACAAATTTGTACAAACAAGATACATGCAGGATAAATTGAGGGTAATCTCGGAAGGAAGACACCAAGAGTAAAGAGGACTGGGAAAAGCTTCTTGCAGGAGATGAGCCTTTAGCCGAGACTTGTAGGAAGCCAGGAGAGGCAAGAAGCAG